AAAGAGTATATCAAGGTGTTGTTAATTCATAACTATAGTTATCAATGCTAAAGGATTGTTACTGGTAAACAGTTTCTTATCCTAAAGAATAGGTTGAGCAGTAAGAGATTGATGCAATATTCTGAGCTTATTGGAAGAAGTCTTTCAATTAGAAGAGGAAAATATTCCAAAAGAATCATGACAATAGTGATGCTAATATGAAATCAACAGGACAATCATTCGTTTTCGAAGTTCGGTGTGTTACGCGGTCTTCACTCGCAGCCTGGCATGGGCAAACTGGTATCTGTGGTGAGCGGTGAGATATTCGACGTTGGCGTTGACATTCGACCAGGCTCGAAGACATTCGGCAAATGGCACGGTGTTGTGTTGAATGGAAAAACGAAAACGAATTTTTGGATTCCAGACGGCTTTTTGCATGGATTTTACGTGAGTTTCATTCGGAAATCTTCGAATATCCCGTATTCAAAAGGGACTCAACGTCTGATTTCTTTACTGATGCTTCTTTTCAGTTCAGATATTATTCTTGTTAAATCTCATGGATTACACACCTTGTTCATAAGATAAATTGGCCTGATGCAATGTGCAGAGTTTTTGTATCTCTCAAAAAATTCAATGACACTTCAAGAGCTTCCGTTCTCTATGACAACACAATAGGCTCAGCAACGTTCACAATAATCCCGATCGTGGATTCGAGGTTGCCCCCTGTTGATGCGACAAGTTTATGTTTTAGTGCCGCACCAAGATCCAAAACCCTCGCACATCAACTCCAGCCACGCGATTGATATTTCAATAATAACGTGAAGAAATTTGCAGACACTCTCGCCAGAAGGTGCGCATGTAACCTATAAATGTACGGGAGTTTATGATCCGACAAGTGAATTTGGTGTGAATCCGTTCGATGAGCAAATTGCGATCAAATGGCCAATCGCTGATCAGAAAGATTTGATTCTTAGTGATCGAGACAAAGCTCATCCAAACTTGAAGGACCTTCAGAAGGCATGAACTTTTGACGAGCGAGGATCTTAACTAATCTAGCAACCATCTACAACATTGTGAATAAATATGTTTTAGTCTGTGATTAACATGTTACGAGTGTTTGCTGAATTGTTTACGTATACGTTGCACGGATCTAACGGAATTGTTCGCACAGAAGTTTTTAAATTATCCATAACTAATGATAACCTCA